TAAAATGAACTGAAGTCATCCAGTTTGACAACACTGTATTAGTGAGGATAACAGGGAAATTGGCACTTCTGTACACTGCTGGGGGAGTATAAACTGGAAAACAGGACATATGAAAGAAAATTTGGCAATATCTATTAAAATTATAAATGAACATATCCTTTGACCTAGCAATTTCATTTCTAGAAATTTGTCCTACTGATATACACCAATGTGTGTAAAATTATACACACACACACACACACACACACACACACACACACACACACACACACCCCACCCTCCCCCAGGAGAGTCACTGCAGCCTTGTCCTAACAGTAAAGACCAGAAACACCCTCCATGTTTATCAACAGCGTACTAAGTAGATCTGTAGTATGGACTGTACTGGAATTAGAAAGAATAGGAAGTGTGAAGAAACAATAATGTCCAGGATATAGTGAAGGTAAGAAAGCAGGGTACAGAGTATTACGTATAAATGCTAATTGTTACGTATTTGTGTTCATATGTGTATACACTGATATACATATATGTTTGTATAGGATAGAACTTTCCTAGATATTTTTGGCATCAAAGATCAGTATCTGATTAAAACATTATCAAAACTGTTGTCTACATTGTGATAATTTTACCAATAAAAAAAAATCAAGATATAAGGCCCATTCAACTAAAAAAACACATCTAAATAATTTAAATGCAGATTGTTCACTTAAAAATTCTACAAAGAATTAAACATATACATTTAAATTCTAACTGAAAACAAGTACATAAAATGAGTTCTGTTATAAAAGTAAGACCGGTGCACATATCAGAATCAGAAACTATGTTCATTTAATAAAAACACTCATACCCTTACCTATTCAGTCGCAGCTTATTTTTCACTGTATACCCTCTTCAGTTAATGTGGATGTATTACCTATTAAAAAATTCTAAGTAATTTTAAAAAAAGAGCTACAGTTTGATAGTTAGCCAGATAGATAGCCATACCATCTATTAATATACAAGAACATTTTTAGTTGTTAGGAACATATGTGATCTTGGGCAAGTAACTTAAGCTCCTTTTAAACTTTAATTTCCTTCATAAAATTAAATGTAGGGAGACAGTATTATATAGCAGCCAGAACTCTAGAGTTAGACTAACTGGGTTCGCATCCCAACTCTGCCACCTACACTGTGTGTAATCTTGGGCAAATTATTTAACCTCACTGTGCTTCCCAAGTCCAATGGGGATATTAATAATGGTACAGCCTCTGAAATGAGCCCCACCTCCTGAGATTCATGCTTCTTAGAATAAATCTCGAGCAATAAGGCAAGTTGGTTTTCGTCTGGGGTGGGAATTAGTGTTCCTGTAACAGCTGGAAGGAACAGAGCTGGAGGTGTCAGATGAGTTTCCTAGAATCATTCGCTCTCTCCATTGTACTGTGATAGCCTATCTATATTACAACAGACTAAAATTCCCATGAAGGGAAAGAGTGTGTCTTTTATGTCTAAAGTCAAGCCCAGTGCTTTGAATATACTAGGGCTCAAACTGTTCAATGTTAGGAATGCAGTCTGGTTTCCTTTTTTCCTAATTCAGAGAAAAGCCATTAGACTATGATGGTTCAAAGAAATACAAAGCTCTCTAAAATGCAGCGAGGCTCAACATCAGTATGGAGAGCAGTCTGGAGGCCAAGACTCCAGGCAGACCAAAAAAGGAGACTGCTACAGTAATCTTGGTGTGAATTCATGGGGACCGGAGGTACATATTCTAACTAAAGATTAAGAGAAATGCACTGATTGATTTGAGAGCTATAAAAAGGTAGAACTGATAGGCCTTGGTGATTTATTAAACGCAGATGCTAAAAGAAGAGAAGCCAAAGTTAACATCAATATTTCTGATTTGGGCAATAGGGCGACCGGTGCTCCCATTCAGTCAATCTAGGAATAGAGACTGGTTTGGGTGAGAGGTGGGGTAACAATGAATTCAAAATATTAACTTAAGGAAAGGGACTTTTGCCTTGTTCTCTGTGGTATCCCCAATGCCTAGCAGGATTCTTATCTCGCAGATCAATACTAACTCACTGTATCGATCCTCACAGATTCAATAATTCTTTGCATGTTGAATGAAGTACAAAGATGTTTATAAAAGTGCTATTTAAAGAAGAAAAAAGGAACAACCAAAATAGCCAACTTACAGAAATGATTAAGCAAATTACAGAATAATTTGCCAAGAGAATGTCAAATGTCTACCATCAAAAACTGGCCAGAAAAAACCACACAAGATCAGGCTTTCATAACTTTAAGTGTTCTCTCAGAAAATTTGTTAACAGATTTTGTAGAAAAAAACTTACTCCTGTTTCTCAAGAAAAATAGTCAAGTACTGACTCAGCAATAAGCTGAAAACATAAAAATAATGGGTAGTTGAAAAAAAGAATTTTTATTAGTTT